AAACGAAGCTACCTCAAAAACTGTATTATGTTATTTTATTTTTTTAATGGTGGGATTTTTCTAGATAATTTTCTCATTTACTTGAGATTTGACAAAATCTGGGGTCTTTCTATTTGAAGTTGCGTGATATTCAACATGTCATAAATGCAATATTTGATAATATTCTTGCTGAAAGTCTGATGCTGATGGCCAGTTAAAGCTAGTTTGGTCTTATGTTACTACAATTCGGGGTGAGTGTCAGATACTCTTATGCTCAATTTCCCTAAGTTTTCTACATATATGGGAGATTGTAGCCCAATACCCATGTTTGAATAGTTTTGGACACTGTTCTTCATGGAAGATGAAGAGCCGATGTAGCATAGGTTTATGCTTAAGTTGCTTTGCCTTTAATTTCATGTTACCATGACCTGCAGATGATAACCAAAAATTTTGAAGATTACCCAGAACATCGCCTCAAATTCTTTTCATTGCTTCGTTCCATTGCCACACATTGTTTCCCTGCACTTTTTCAGTTGTCAAGTCAGGTTGGTGATGTATTCTCCGTTTTGCAGATTACTACGGCTATCCTTTAATTAAAAACATGAAATATTTCTTGAACTTTCTTTTCTGAGCTTTAATTTAAAGCCAAGAATGGATAATGTAATTCTGCTGTTGTTCTGTTGGATGCTTGAAAGAGTTTCAATGCAACTGTTGTTTATTACTAATTTTTGTTTTTCATGCATCTTCCTCAGCAACTAAAACTCGTTATGGATTCAATCATTTGGGCTTTTCGGCACACGGAGAGGAATATTGCAGAAACTGGTTTAAATCTACTATTGGAGATGCTGAAAAACTTTCAGGTCTGCTAGTGGTGCTGTTTTTCGTATTTGATGACTGGGTTGATAAATGGGGAAGATGCTGAGTTTTTGGCTTTAACAACTTGGCAGGCTTCTGAATTTTGTAACCAGTTCTACCGAACATACTTCTTGACAATTGAGCAGGAAAGTTTTGCTGTCTTGACTGACACATTTCACAAACCTGGCTTCAAGTTGCAGGTCTTGATTTTACAGCAGCTGTTCTGCCTGGTTAAGTATCTTACTTTGCCACAATTACTTTGGTTTTGGATCCATGTTACTTTTTAGTTATTTGAGTTATTTTCAGGTTGAGAGTGGTTCATTGACCGAGCCCTGTGGGATGCCGCTACGGTTCCATATCAGTATCCAAATAATGAAATTTTTGTTGGTGAGCACACGATAAAACTTCTTAGTACATCATTCCCTAACATGACTGCAGCTGAGGTAAAATAACAGGTTCATATGCAATCAAGTTAGTGTTTCATCTACCAAGTTGATGATCAGATCTATGCGGGTTTCAGGTCACTCAATTTGTGAATGGACTATTCGAGTCGAGAAATGACTTGTCAACATTTAAGAATCACATACGGGACTTTCTTGTGCAATCAAAAGAATTTTCAGCTCAGGTAAAAGCTTGATTGGGGGGGGGGGGGGGGGGAGATTATTGGCTTAAAACCTTAAAGATTTATGTTATTCATAGTGGAGTTAAAAATTAACGTAGTTCAATAAATTTCCAACCTCTATGTGGTTTGCTTTTGATGACGGAGCTGATAATTGAGCTGTACATTCTTCAGGACAATAAAGATCTTTACGCAGAAGAGGCTGCAGTACAGAGGGAAAAAGAGAGACAAAGGATGCTTTCAATCCCGGGGCTCATTGCCCCAAATGAGATACAAGACGAGATGTTGGATTCATAGATGTGGCTGATTTTGCCTTGGAAGGTAAATTGTTTAAATTTTGACATGGGAGGTTGTGCTTTTGACAACACTCATATCCCTGAATGTTAACAGACTCCATTTTCACCCATTATTACTCATATTTTGTCAAAAATGGTGAATCACGAAGTCGCCATAGCCCACAAGTGCGGCTGCCGGAGATGCTGCCTGTATGTCAGCCAAATGGCAACATGAAGAATATTTAGGTAGGATGCATATATTACCAAATCCAAGTCGTATTACAAGAGTTATGTGGGGTCTGGGCTTGATATTTGTACCGTTTAGATGACATGTTTTTGATAGTTTCATACAAGGTTAACAGGGAATACGGACCTCAGAAAGTTGTGCATGATTTTTGGGTTTGATTTAAGTAGAATGCCAATATTATGGGGTTTCAGTTTCAGTGGTTGACTATCAACTTTAGTTTCCAAGTGAAGAAATGTACTTTTTGTTACTTGGTGGTTATAATATATTAATTTAGTGTTTTATACATCTTGGGTTTCTCTTGTGAAAAGATCGAGTTGGCATTGATTTCGTATGCCAAGCTAGAAAGGAATAGGGATGGATGAGCAAAAGACTAATTTTTTTATAATAGTATTTTTTATTTTAATAGTGAATAATATAATATTATATAAAAATATTATTTATTTTTATTAAGCTTTAAAATTATTTTTCTATCGGTGAACTGAATTAAAATAAAATTTTCAAAAATCTTAGAGACCTGATAAAAATAAAGTCTGTCTCAACCCTTAAATAAACGAGAATTTGGGTTTTGGATAAACAAAAAAGACATAAAAATATACAGTGGTATAAAAGTAAGGAATGATAAATCCTTTCGACGTTAAGTTTGATAGTCTACTACTTGTAACATTTGAAGAGGGCGAATAAAAATATTTACGACAGTTTGGGGAAAATAAAAAAGATTGAATATAAGAATTTTAAGTAATTCGACTTTTAAATTAAGTTTGTGTCAACTACCTTAATTATTTATACTAAAGATTTTATAAACTTATTTATTTGTAGCAACGATAAAATGTAATTTTACAAACTCTTTCAAGAATTATACCTCAAATTCTTGATACTCTTTTAAAAAAATACTAGTCTTAAATATTGGTACTACATGTATTAAATAAAAAATATAACTATTGGGAAGGATAATATCAATACTATTTCATGTGGTATCAATACTCCTAAAATACCAATATAATTTTTGTATACTAAAATTATGAGTTTTAAAAAACATAAGAAAAATATTGATACTCTTATTATAAGTAGTCAGTATTAGATGAAGTATCAATACAATTTTAGTATTTTAGAATTTAAAAACAATAGGTAGTATCAGTACTACCTTGTGTAGTATCGATACTGCTTGATGATTTTAAATTCTTTAGCATCAATACCATAGGAATACTATCGGTATTCTAATGCTTAAAAAACATTTTCGATTAGATTAAAGTTTGAAATTCTTCAAAAAAAAAATGTTTTAAAAAATTGTTCTAAAATTATTTCTCGTATTTGAGAAAAACTTTCAAATATTTAAAGAGAAAGATGGATTTTTTAGCTTAGTTAATTTTATATTTGAATAAATGTATCAAATATAGTTTTAAAATTTACTTAAAATCACTAATTATTTTTGGTATATTAAAATATCAAAGTATGTTCAACATATGCAAATATCGTTAATTTATGACAGCATCCGGGTACACAACCAGAACATTATCTCTGAGTTTGGTTCATCTCAGGCTGCAAATTTAGGATCTCCTTGCAATTCACTTGTAGTAACAGTAGCATTGTCGACAGCAGGTTCATACGCAATTGGGTTGATTATCTCAGTTGAACTAGTATGGTTATTTTAATGGATGAAAAAAAATTTCTGACCGTGAAAAAAACCTAATTTGATACCGTATTATAATCTAAGAGAATAAATTGAGAGAGAAGGAAAGAACAATGGAGCTAACGCAAGAAAAAAAATATATGATTTATGAAGTAAAAGATTACAAGAGTTTTAAATAGACTTAGCCGCTGACTTCTAATAGGACTTTAAAGATAAACTTCTATAATTACAAAGACTCGTAAGATTTATCTTTATTATCATAAAGAACTCTTACACAAATGAGACTACCACTACTAATAAGGCGGCTGCTACTACTACTACATTGGGTTGTCTATAGAAGGTTAATCGTATCATTTAGTCTAAAAGGTCGGTTAACTGTTATAACAGTGACAATATTTTTCTAACTGTAACCTAACCGTTAAAAAATGATTAACTGTTATTAACGATTCAATTATAGATTAACGTTCACCTATTACAATTATTTTTTAAAAAAAATAACATTTAAAGTTTCATAATTCATACTACAAAACAGTGTAGTACTTAACATATACTTACATCGGTGTAAGTGAATAAAATAAAAAAATGTAACACTTAACACATTCTTACACCGATGTAAATATATACATTTCGTAATATAATTATAAACTTAATTTATTATCAATTAACCGTTTATCAAAATTCACAACCTTAACTTTAACCTTAACCGTTAACCATTACTATTAGTGGTTCGATTAAGCTAAACCGTTTAGTATTAACTGTTCATTTAATTAACATGTTAAATGTAATGATTATATCGATTACCGGTTAGACTTTTTTGAACACCCCTACTACTACATGGTTGCTTCTGACACATCCTTTTCTTCAAAGAGAAAAAAAATTGATGCAACATTTAGGTAAAAAGTCAATTAATTTGTATCTCATGGATTAACCTTAAGAAAGTACTTCAAGAAATATATATTTCTAAAAATCCATTTTGCCACTTGCTTTGATACAAATGTTATCAATTCTCTCTTTTTAGAAGCTTCTCCGGCTTTGTCTTCATCACTTACTACCAAAGGTTGCACTGAACTATATTACTCGAACTTAGAACAAGATCTAAGCATATGATGATTTTGAAGGCACAATTCCATTCGATGTCATCTTTTATATGTATAAACAAAATAATATACTAACATCAAATATTGAGTCAAATCTTAGAAAATTAAATAAACTTCAATTTCAGCTTGCTACAATGTTTAAAAGAACCCTACTTGGACCAACCGAAATGACTTGTAATAATCCAAGGCAAGCAAAAACTTTTGTAAAATTCTATGCAATTAAATTTGAAGGTGAGATAAATGAAGCAGTCAATGCATGAGGTGAAATACATGGTATATCAAAGTTAAAAGAAATGAACCCATCAAGTGATCTCATTGGTAAAAGATAATGTTAATCTTCTTAAAGGTCCTGGGTTTGAACAGCAGCCTCTGCAAGGTGTGTGTGCCTTGTAGGTTAAGAAAATTCTAATGAGACTATTCAAAAAAAAAACCATCGAAAAGCAGAGTCATTCAACTTGAGAGCAATACTAACGTTTTCTCCTACGCTGCTACCAGCTCTGATTCCTCTTGACGGTTCTCAGAGGGAAGCAATAAAGAGTATCTTTCAGCATCAGCCGTTCGAAGAGAGTTAGCTTTCACTTTAGAGTTTCCATTCAACCACAAGGCCGTCAAATAGAATAGATCGAATAAACCCGGGTACCTAAACCCAAACCTAAACAATGAAGGATAGTAATTGGTAAGAGCAACCATCGATATAAAATGGGACAAAAATGAAAGTAAACAAACAATTACAGAAAAATAAAAATTCCAAACCTGCACTGCAGATAAGAAAACCTCATGTTATTTTACCAATAGAAAAGAACAAAAAACACAGATTCTAAAATTCAGATCTCCGCCCATTATTAGATCTCGTAAAATATCTTGATTCTGTTTCTATTTAGAACAAAAGTAGAATGACATCCTCACCATATCTTCAAGAATTACAACACTCAAGCAGTTCAATGGAGCAGATTTTAATTGATTTGCTTAAGCTAATGTAACACTGTTCAGATGTGGTCATTAAGGTGAGATCTGGAGGCATTTAACTGGTATATCTTCTGTCCGCTGGAAGCTGAATTTGAGATATTTATATAAGAAATTGATTGAAAAATTAGAGTGATTTTCAACGTCAAACATGCACAACAAGAGCAAATGAACAATTCACCAAATCTTCATTTCATCACAGCATGCAGTAAAGTTATCAGCCATAGAAACACAAATAATAATAATTTAGGCTGACAAACAATTAGCCTGGATCCATATTGTTCCAACTCATTTTTTGCTTAACATGAAATAGCCATATGAACCAATTAATGGGGAAAACCACAAGAACACACACACACGCACACACATATATAATATGTATATACAAATGCATAAATATATAATATCTGATGCAGGAAAAGGAAAACACAGAGAAAGGCAATAACCTGGTAAATCATGGCCTTCTTCCAAGAAAAAAGCTAGGTCTCAGGCTAGAAATGAAGATACTTTCCAAATGTGAAGCATTGTACCAAAATGATACTGTTAAAGATCAAAGGGTTTTCATCTTGGATCCTACTTTGAGGTTTTCCAAAAATGGGATCCCAAAATTATTCATGGAATCCTGAATACTTTGAGCTTCAGATTCCTTTCCTGCATACTTGTAAAAATGCACAGCTGCACTCATGATATACCTATCTGGTTTTGCAGTATCCTTGATCTGCTCAAAAAAGCTTATGCCTTCTTCCACCAATCCATAGTCAAAATAACATCTTATCATGGTTCGGTAACATGCCTGGTCAGGACTTATACCAGTTGTAATTAGTTCCTTATAAACTCTTTCTGCTTCCCTCGTCATCCCTCCTTTTGCAAAAGCATACAATAAAAGATTAAAATGAGCACAAGTTGGCAGGATGCCCATTTTTCTCATAGAAGCTATAGTTAGCTCCGCTTCTGCATATTTCAAACACTCAGTATAAGCCTGAAGAAGGGAAAGATAGGTGGACGAGTCAGGTGAGGGACCATCCCTATGCATGGCTTCAATAAGTTTCTCAACTTCATCACATAGACCTGCACTGGCATATATGTTGATCATAATTTTGTAGCTTACCTGCATTTCCCCAGAAGGCAACAGTAGCACCAAATGAGTATATCAATAGTTCAAGTATAACTTTTGTTTAAAACTGAGAGTTAACAGATTAAAAAGATTTTTCTACGTATGGATAAGTGTTATTAAAATAATAATGTGTAGCGCTAAATACCAAATCATATATGCAAACATAGATAACAACACACACTAGCATATTTTTATGTGGTGTCCCATGCTTCAATCAGGGTTCTGAATAGCAAAAGGAGTTAGTGTATCAACAAAGGCTATCATAAAAAATACCCATATACATTATTCACAACCAAATGGTACTCAAGCTTCTTCATACTTATTTAACAGTGAGATAAGCATACCATTCCGGGATCTATCCCCTCTTCTAGCATTTTAGCAAACAATGAGGCAGCTTCATCCCTTTTACCTGCAAAACAATTAAATTATTGACGACGATGTAACAAGGAAATCTAACTGTTGTCTAGATCATCTAGCAGGCATACATCATCAATAATCCCATTCAGGGTAAATTTGGTCAGCAGTTCCTTTAAGCCTTGACAGCAATAATGTTCAGCAGCTAGTTTTTCCATAATGTTTCTATAAGCAGCTAAAGAGTGGACAAAATGCTGGAAATATTGATATTAGCATCAGCTTCCTTCTTGTCATAAAAACATAGCAAACTAGGAAGAAGCCAATAAATAAAATGCACAATCTACTTCAACTGCAATATGTGCATTTTAAAATGCATGATATTCATATGGTTACTACATAAGCATATGAAATACATACAAGTTACAAATACATATACTATGGCTATAAATATGAATCAAGTCAATCAAATTTAAGATAATTCTACCAGTGTATAGGAAGACTGATAAAAAACCATAAGCAGCACCTAATTAGTAATTTCCCTCTTAAATGACAATAAATTGACAGCAAGAATGAAAGAAGTAAAAGGACAGAGGCAGTTATAAAAGAGAGAGAAATGAAGTTTGGGAGATACGAAAAGAAGAGAAAAAAAAGAATTCATGAGAATTTCACAATTATTTGATTCTTTCAAGCAATTTTTCCTTTTTCACTTATACAGATCCATATAGAAGGTATGACCCTAGAGCCTTGAAACTTACAGGGTTTAGGATTTAGAAGTTAAAATTATAGGGATAGAGTTTCAAGGAAAACCTAAAGAGCCATTGGTATAATATTGCTATTTTGTTTGCTAGAGTATACAATTGCTAATTAATATTCTCAATTTTTTTCACAGAGAAGAGATCGAACATTACCAGCCTTCCCATAATAGCAAATAAGATTCATATATGCCTTCTCATCCAGAGTCATGCCCAAGCTGCGAGCAAGGTTGAATATCTCCACTGCCTTGTCCAGCTTGTGACCTCGTCCATACACACTGCACGAGTAAGCTGCAACTGTCACATCAACATTCAATTATAGACAAATAATTTCTTGGTGCTCAACTTCTTACCTAATCAAAGTGTTATAAGTCTGAATTGATGGACCAACTCCCTTGGAAAGCATATGCTCATAAATGCTGGTTGCAAAATGTAATTTACCTATAAAATTTGAACTAATTATTGTGAACTTTAACCTGTGGGATCATTAGTATGTAGTGAACAAAGAATGTTTTAAGCAACCTGCTTCTAAAGCTGCCTTGATGAATGTATTGTATGCTACAGTATCAAGTTCCAAATTGTTCTGAAAACAAAAGTGTATCATCTCTTCAGCCTCTTGATGTTTTCCTGGAGAAAGATTAATATTGTTACTCACTGAAAGAGATGCAGTATATCAGTAACAACAGCAAATTAAACAGAGACGCATATAAAACCATAAGGTTGCTTGACATTTTAGATTAGCACACCAGCACACTATCATGACATCACAATTTCTATAAACAAATAGGCAGTAAAGGATAAAAAAAAACCTAAAGTCTTAACAATTTTTTGACAACAAAAAAGGATTTCTCTACAAAATATTCCAACCACTATTACACTCTTAAACTTTAGAAGCTAAATTCCAATGATTGTTAGGTTTAGCTCTTATGTTAAATCATTGAAGAATTTTATAAGCAATCTACCAAAACTTCACGGATGTTATAAGCAATAAACATTAAAGACATCACAAGTAATGAACTTCGAGCCCTGATTATTTAATTACTCTGGAGATTTTCACATAAACCATATGCTATAACTTGATGATCCCTCGTAAATACTATAAATGTTTTGTATGTTTGCAGAATTATATAAACAAATACCAAAATTAGTCAATGAGTTGACAACTTTGCTGATGGCAATGGCACCTAGATCATGCCCCTTTTTGAATGCTTCTTTATATAATGAATATCCCGCCTCAGGTTTACTGCATTTAACATATGCATCAATCATTGAGTTATATATCAATTTCCCACAAGTGGGAGAATTTGCAACTGCAGCGAAGACATATTCGGCCTGTTCTAGCTTCTGGTCCCTTCCATATAAACCAATAATAGATGCAATTGTTGCATCATTCACACTGCAACCTAGCCTGACAACTTGGTCATTAAGAGCTTTCACTTTGGATATATCACCTAATTCAAGAAATCAAAATCAAAACTCAAGTGAAACGCACCACACTAAGTTGTGGCTTCAATCACACAAGATGAACAAATAAACAAATAAATTTTAAAATATATTTCTTTAATTCAATGAAAAATATATTTATTACAATAGTGAACAAAAAATTACCTTCTTTCAGAAAGTTGCTAAGAAGTTGAGTTAATACAGACATGCTATCAGCAGTCTCAAGCAACAACTTTAATACTTTTTCCAAATTATTCAAATCCTTACATTCCAGATACAGCCTGAGCAAATACCCAAGAGCCGTGGAATCAAGTTTGTCGGAGGTCCCATTGCCTTTGACTTTCTGATGTCCAAGGGATTCTCCGCATATGGCTTTAAAAAATGTTTGAATAAACTTGTTATATTTATATGAATCATCACTAACCATCTCTTTTGTCAGTTGTTCAATGTCTTCTCTCATTCCCTCCTTGCAATATATTTTTACAACTGTCCTATAAAGCTCCTCATCAAAAGCTACTTGATCTTTCTTTATCTGCACAATAAATTTCTTGGCCCTTTCTGTCAAGTTAAGTTTAATATACAGTCTGAGCATGTCATTGCATGAACCAGAATCGGGAAGTCCAGTCTTGGCTAAAGCCTGTAATGTCACTTCAGCAGAGTCCAGATTTTCACTCATGACATAACATTGCAAAGAAACAATATAAGCAAATCTTGAGAACCAAACGTCTCTAGATTTCATCATTTGAATAATATCAAGAGCCTTCTTAGGATTGCCTGAATTAAGATGGACTTGCGCCATTGCTAAATATGTTTTCTCATCACTTAGTTGGCCAATCCGATCAATCTCTTCAAATGTTTTTTGGGCATCCTCATAAAGCCCAAGTTTTCCATATATTCTAATTAGCAAGCCATATAACTTCATCAACAGCAATTTTATTTCTTTCCATCTCAGTAAAAAGAGATAGAGCTTGTGAATAATCTTCTTTCTTATAATACAGAGTTAAAAGTGAAGCACATGTGTAGTTGCTTGGAACTATTCCCCTGGATCTCATATCTTCGTATAATCTTAGTGCATCCTTCCAGTTACTATCTTTAGTGTGAGAACTAATAAGCAGGCTATAAGTTGCTTCCTCAGGCACAAAGTCAAGTTTCTTCATCTCATCAAAAGACTTATAAGCCTCTTCACAAAGACCCCCTTTAACAAGTGAGCTGATTACTACTGTATAAGTGAACCTGTTAGGTGCCACCCCTTTATGAACCATTTGCCTCCATAAATCAATGACCTTTTCATGGAGTGATTTCTTTTGCAAAGAAGACAGCATAAAATTGTAAACAGAAGTTGACAATTTGATGCCCCTTTCTTCCACGGCAGAATAAAATGATTGCATAGCCTTGTGTCGTCCCCATCTAGCATATGTACACAACATGGTACCACAAGCTACTTCATCGGGTTCACATCCCGCTTCAAGCATCTCCAGGAAGGTCTGCTCAGTTAGTTTGATTTTCCCCACTTGCCCATAAGCTCGCAAAACAATTGTATAAACAATAACACTCGGGTGATAGCACAACTGTTCAAGCACAAATCTATAATTATAATCTATTAATGTTCAATGTTTCTTAACATAGCAACATAATTACTTTGCATCTCTTTGCGAAAGCTAAACATAACACAATTAGAAGTAAAAAGGCAAACAATGTATTTAGATAGAAACATAAAATATAGAGTTTAACCTTCTCTAGTAGAAAAACACACTGTTTTACTTGTATAGGAAACAACATATGTATCAAGGCAGGTAAATTTGCTCATTGGAACATGCTAAATGGTACGATTCCGAACACAAAGACTTAAAAATAAGGACATTGCGTGTAATATAAATGATAAATTTCAACAGAAAAGATTAAACATCTCTTATCCGGACTACCCCTACATATGTTTAACATTTACAGTGTTAAATTCAAGCAAATATGATTTCGGGGGAAAAAAACAAATACTAATACTAAAAACTGCACGAAGCATACAAGTATCAGAAAAACTAATTAAAACAACATACCTGCAACTTCATCCAAGCAAAGAAATCCCTAACTTGCCTCCAATTTTTTTGTTCTTTCAAAACGACACACATTTCCCTAAAGCTCAACTTCCCAACAAAACTCCCCATCACTCTTCTCACATCAACTTCCCCTTCTTTTCTCTGCCCCATCGCTCTAACAGCCTTTATCGCCGCCACTACGTGCTTCCCATACAACTCCCCGTTCCTCTCATCTTCCAAGTACTTCACCATCTGCTCCGGAGTTCTCTTTATCCATTTCGGAGTCATGGCGCGTGAACCTTGGTTACGCCTCAACGCGCTCAAGTATTGAGCCTTCTTCTTTATGATTCGACGCGCGTTGTCGTCTGAGAGTGGGTTTTTGGGGTTTTTAGATTTGGGTCTGGGTTTTGCGGGGTTGCCGTCGCTGAGGGAAAATGGGTCTGGGCGGACTGAGGAATGAATGCGAAGTTTGCGGTTCGTGGAGGGTGGTTTAGAGAGAGGAAAGGAAGGGTAGAGATGGATTGTACTGGAGAGGAAGGTAGAGTTGAGGGAGTCCATGTATTCAGTGTTCTTTCAGGGAAAATGGAGGCAATGCTATCTTCCGTTCGTTTCCAGTGAAAATTAAACTGTTTTCACCTTTCAGTCAGTTGAGTGAATCCATTGTGATTAAAAGGGGTAAATTATAAATTTAGTAACTGAACTATCTTTCTTCTCCTATTAAACTCGCTTGATTTTATTCACTAAATTTTATTCAATTGTTTTTTAGTCACTCTATAACGATATTGACTATGTTATTATTATTTTATTATGACAATGCAAATTTATTAATTCTTAATTCTAAATATATTTTAAAATAATAATTAAAATGTCTAAAACACCTAAATCTAAGGTGTTTTTACCAAAATATCACCCTTAGACCCAATAATTACCTGTCAGGCACTCTATCTCCAAATATTACCGATCTAGCACTTTTTTAACACGGTGATAATAAAACGAGGGGTTCTGTCAGAACTGGTGCCACGTAAGGGGGAGGTGCGGTTCGTCACCCGCGCCTTCGCGAGTTTCTGACACGTACGGAAGGCACAGATCATTATCCGTAATTGGAAGGTAAGTGGAAGAGGAAGCTTATTCAGAAAGCTTTACGGGATATGTGGGAGGAATTTTATAGTTTGGACTATGAGGATACAATTGGAGACTTGAAAGCAAGATTTAATATGTCAAGATCAAACCTAATAGATATGGGTTGAAACCTAGTGAGACATTGGCTTTGGACGAGAAAGAGTTGAATCGATATGTTTCTTTGAAGAAGCTTGCTCCGTATACGGACAAGGAATGGAAGGTGGCCAATAGTAAGAGGTACCAGCAGAAATAGAGGATTAAGGAGCTTCTCAGGGAAAAGCGAAATGGTCAAAAGTTTGGTAAGAAAAGGTCAAGAGACTCTGTTGAGCAATTGAACGAAGAAAAGAACACAAAATTGGAGGATTCAAATGGTGACATGAAGAATGTATTTGAGCAGGGGAAGAAAAAGCATCGTCAAGCAACCAACATATCAGAGTCGAGGTGAAAAGCATATGGAATGATTTCTTCTGGACAAAAAAAAAGAACAAACACATGCATTAACAAACAATAATAGTTTGGTACGTAAAGATTTTAATTTCCTGTAACTTGTGTTTAAATTTTATCTTATGTCTTAAGACTTTTTTATTCGAATATATAGAGAAATAATAATTACTGTAACACCCCAACCCGTATCCGACCCGGATACGAGTCCGAAGTGTCACATTGACTTTTCAAACATTTATTCGTATAAAATAGTGAGTAATTTAAAAACTTTTATAACATTTAACTTATTCAAAACATTTACAAAACTATTCAGAGCTTATACAATATATTCTTTTGATTACATGCCAACTAGAACTTTATATATAAAAAATACATATTATTCACCTCTCTTCTGATCTGACATTCGGTAAGGAGAACTGACATGTCTTGTTCCTCTTTACTTCTCTTTTCGCTTTCCAAACCTACGTGTGAAACAATCACACGCTAAGTCGATGACTTAGTGAGGCATATAAAACATATAATATTTCATATAACATAAAGCATACATAAACATATACCATCATTATCATAATCTCTATCATTATCATTAAGAAACACACATAACATCATATGGTTCATGAAACACATTTCAAATCACTTATAAACCCATCGTATACATATCACATTCAGTATGTTTGTTTATTATCTTTATTAGCCCATGTACACTAGTGAGAACTTAAGGTATGTGAGTACATTGAGGTTGTGCACACATATACTGTCACCACAGCTCGATCAATGTCCCGAAGGACCTATCCAGAGGTCATAAAGATCCTCGGTAACTATCCAGAGGTCATAAAGATCCTCGGTAACTGTCCAGAGGTCCCGAAGAACCTAGGTAAACTATCCATATGTTCCCTTAGAACATAGGTATACTGTCCATATGTCTCGAAAGACATAGGTAGTTCTTTGACTCTTGGCATGCCAACTATACCTACAGGTTCTCATAACTCATAACATGGGCATTATCATTATGAATACATTTCTCATCACTTGTTCTTTCTCTTCTGTCACATACCACATGTATGTGTAACCATGTATTTCATATCATATATTTTATAATAGATTCTTATATCATTATTTGTTTCATTCCTACCTATTCACAATCACACTAACATGTAATGCAAGCAAGATGTATTAATACATACATGTAATCACATAACTTATATCATATCATTTCTCTTATAAACACATATCTCTTCTTTTCTGTCACGTATCACATATACGTGTAATCATTGATCTTATAATCTCATGTTCCTTCTCTTCTGTCACATACCCTATGTTTGTGTAAACATATATCTCATAAACATATATTTATGAATCTCATATCGTATCACATATTCACATAAACATGTAATCCACTTTCACATAGCTTGTCACATAGGCATGTATTCTCATATATTATAATTTCATATAGTTCAATATCACATATCACATATACATGTAATCATGTACTCATACACACATAAGCATCATATCAGTCACAAATCAAATAACATTTTAGGAGTCACTTCTTACCATAGTAACTCCATCACTGGCTCATCACAAGCCAATGTTTATTCGATAACATAAGTACAATTAAATTGCACTCACCTTAGCTTTGCTTTGATTCGATTCTAATCCTTCAATTGTTTCTGAATGGGATCACGTTCTATATCTACATAATCATTCATAGATCTATATCAGTATTATAACTAATATACTCTAATGGTTCACTCCTTAGACTAAGAAAAATGCCAATTTCATCTTTCAATGAAAGTATGCATCGATGCACTACTGATGCATCGGTGCATAAAATGCATTCGATGTTGTATTATCACTGGGATGCATCGATGCATGCCTTATGCATCGATGCATGCCTTATGCATCGATGCACTAATTGCATTCGATGTTTCTATTTTAAAAGAGTGCATCGATGCACTACCTATGCATCGATACACCTTCAAACAAAATTCTGGGTTTTAACCTTGATGCATCGATGCACTATGAATGTGCATCGATGCACTCTGCCCAGAACCTCTTTTTGAACCCGAAAATCATCAACTCTTCACTCAAATGCTTCATATTTCATCCCCTTTCATAATCCTAACTTTCATATACATGTTTAAACTCACTTATAATCATTTATCCCATCTTTAACCTTAATATCCTCTCCTTTTTAGGAACTTCAAGAATCATACCCTATTTTCCACATGTTTCAAATCCAGTTCTAACATTTAATACTTCTTAATTTAGCTGATGACAAGTCAAATTTAGTTCCCAATTCAACTTATCATCTCTTTTTCCAAAGATTCACTTAAAAACCCATTTTTTTTTTAATCTTTCATAACTCCTTTATCTTTTGATTTTAAGATAACTTAAGCTTTCCTTAAGCTTAGTTATCCTCTAATGATCAAAACCCAACCTTTAATTCAACAAATAATCAAGAAATCAGAAACTCACCTTTGCTTAGCTTCCACGGGGAGGAGGAAGAAGAAATGAAGAAGAAGATGAAAATGTTTTCATCTTCCACGTTTTCATCTCTTATAAAAAGGATAAAATATCTTTAATATCAAATGACCATTTTACCCTTTAATTCCTTTAATAATTACTAACAACTTTTAGGAAATATTTTCAAACAAATCACTGAACTAATCCATTCTTCTACTTTAGTCACCAAATTCTAAAACTTTACAATTTGGTCACTAACCCATAGTTTGGGATGTTACAATTACTGTTTGAATCGGTACAATCTCTATGGTGAGGAAAACATATTCATGAAACTGTTTCTTTAATGTTATGTTATAAATGTATATTTTGTAAAGTAACTGATGAAATGTGATTGGTTCCTTACCTTATTTTGTAGTTTCTTTAATGGCATGTTGAAAGAATGGTGAGGAAAGAAAGGAATTGGAATTTTAGCTGGCATTGTATTGTATGTTGTAATCTTTCCATACCTTGTTTGATATCCTTGAATGGCTTAAAACTAGTCATCTTAAAGGTCTCACGTCTTCGTGACATGTAAATACACAGCATGTTTCTTGTTTGTGAGAGTTGTGGCTGCGTTGAAATCATCCCATCCCCTATAGGTGTGCTCTAAAATAGTTTATTTTGGTTGTGAATTACTCAGTTTGTGCTTTCGTTCTCATGAACGGCATTCCCTATTATTTCTACGGCAAATGCTACGGTGTTAGAGAACTTGTCATTCTCTCGTGACGAGCTTTCCTTGATATTATTTTTTATTGGCCTTGGTCATGTGAAGGTGACCGTTGAGTTTGAGAATTATAGTTGGTATGACTGTTTGATATATTAAATTTTTAATTTTGAAATTTGGAATTCGTCATTCTTTCATGACGAGCTCGAACAGTTATAATGGTTTTTTTAAAATGTATATAAATAGGAGTTGGTAGTTTAAATGTTTATGTAAAAAGAGGAAAATAGAAAGATATATGAGGTTCAGAAAATGAATCCTTGGGAAAGAAATTGTATCTGATTAGGAGAATGGTGTTTATAGATTCTACGACTTCGATGATTCAAACTCGTTTTTAGATGATAAGTTGATATATTGTTCAATTATTTCGAGGCATCGAAAGCAAAGGAAAATGAAAGAAGTGGAAGAGGAGCTTAAAAATTCTAAGGAGCTCGAGAAGACGAAAGAAAATTTGAAAACTTGTAAATCTACTTAGAGGGGAAAAATATGTTGCGGATATAGTGGTAGGATAAATGTAACAAATTAGAGCGAAGGGATTTAGTTTTTAGGGTTTAAATATATGTACGGGAATGCCATTAATAATGAAGTAATTATTGTTTTAAGGGATGTTATATATGAATAGTTGCAACTATCGACATATAATAATGATTTAAAGTGCATGTGTAAAAAATATAAGCTTAAAAACACACAACCATAAAATAGAAACTTTTTTAAAATACATAAACACATCTATATAAAAATATGCCAACAATTCAAAAAAATAAAGTGAAATATATTAATATAGAAAACTAAATAAGGATTAATCGACGAATTCAATAACTTGGAATATTCAGACAATGTTTTGGTTGTCTCCTTCACCTCTACAATACCCAGAAAACTATTATAGGCCTGTGACCATATTTTCTTAAAGATTTCGGATGCGAATTTAAAAATCTAAAATTTAAAACGATTATTAAATTAATAAAATTAAAAGATTAAAAATAAAAATAAATAAAATTTTATATAAATGATGATAATTTTTTTATGATTTTACAGTGTTAGAATTAGATTATATAAAAAAATATTGAACGAGAACGAAATTAGATTTATCATAATTAATTAAAAATTAAAATTAAATTGAGTTTATTTTAATTATTAGGTTTTTAAATTTTAGACTTAGATGTTTAATTAATAAAATTAAATAAATAAAATTCAAATTCAATAAATAATTAAAATAATATATATGTGTGTGTGAGAGTGTGTTTGTTTTGGGTTTCGAATCAAGTTTAAGTCTATGTCAAGTCACGGGTTGAATTTCAACTATTTTTGTGATATATATATATTTTTGAATAGTTTAAGATGATTACAATGACATGATGTCCTATAGGGAGAATAACATTTCCTTTTAATTTATCACTCAAGCAACTCAATGAATTGTTTGTGATTTTATATTTTTTTAATAATATGAGAGGATTACAAGGACTCAAGTCCATTAAAACAACATTCATTTTTATCAATAATTTATTAGTGATTTTATATTTTATTATATTTAGTATTAAAACGGTTACTTTTTTTAATAGTTTGTAATGATTATAAGATTGTATATGTTTAAAACTTTCTAACATATTGACGATGTGCATGCACTTCACAGATGCAACTGTTTGAGTCTATGACCTCTAAAAAAAATAACATTCTCTTTTACCACTAAAGTCATTTGATAGGTTCATTAAGATGAGTTAATTAAACCCTTGGTGGGATGACAAAAAAATATATATTTAAACGAAGATTTGATTGAATATAACAATGACTTGATTGAATGAAGGTCGTATGTTCAATTCTTGTATAATCCCTTAACTTGGAAGAAAAATTGTGAGACAAATACATACACACGTGTACTCTAATTATATGATATTATTTTATTGAGTTATTTAACTATCAAAAGTTACAAAATGTTCACCCGATTATTTATTATGTTTCAAACTTATCTTTTTTTGGTTAAAAAATTAACGACGGTCTGAGCTAGCCGTTAACCTGCTGACTGAGATATGATAAAATATGATCTCATAATCTCAAACGACTATCATATCTCAGTCAGCATGTTAATGTCCAACTCAGACGATTGTTTATTTTTTAACTGAAGAAGACGAGTTTTAAACATAATGTATAATTAGGTGATCATTTTATAACTTTTAATAATCACGAAACTAAAAAAATTAACTTTTTATAGTCGAGGGACTTAACAAATCAACTCTCTATAATCAATGGATCATTTTGTAACTTTTAATAGTTGAGGATTCAACAAAATATTAGATCATTTGTGTACTTTAACCAAAATAATAATCCATAAATAAGGGACATGAATTAAGCAGGCAGCAAAGAGCAAATAAGAACCAGTCATGTCATCAAACCATCAATATGATAGCCAATAGCCATACACATAACAAATCCAAGTATGTATTTTACGGAACAACAAATGCGAAAGAAAAATCTGTGTTCGTCCCCAGTTTTTGATTCCAAAAAATGCCTACAATGACCCGACACAGGCCTTCTGTCATAAACTATGGAATGGAGTTGAGTATCAATCAGAGTGTGATTAGATCGTCTTTAGTTCCTTGCTGCTTCTTTGAATCTTCGGATGAACCTCCACCTTTCTTACCAAAAATCATTTCATCGAGATCGTCCATCATGTCGTCATTGCTTCCCCCGTTAGTCCCTTGTCGTGTACCTGCTGGTTTTCTAATCAATGCATCTTCTCTCGCATGATGGGGTGAATCATCACGCGCGACAGCCACGGGAATCATAGCAGGTTCTGGCTCACTACGAACCGCTGATGGCATATTCAATTCTTCATACTTTGAAAGAGCTTTCTGGATCTCATCGTTCACATTCAAAGCTTCGAAAAGCAGGGCTGAGTTGGCTCCAGCAGTATCGATGATTCTTAGAACAGTGGATTGGGACTGTCGACATTGCTGGACAAGCGTAGTTGTCAAATCATCCTGCCAACAAAGTAACGAAAATTACAGTGGATTCAAATCAGTACATAAGGCATTAAAAGAAAACCCTTGAACTCGGCACCTACTTATTTTTGCAACTTCTTTTTATTTTATTTGTTTTCTTTTCCGAGCATGGACATATCGAAAGATTAAAAATATGTTAAATCTAATTCGATGACATGTCAACCATCACCACAAAGCATCTCTTTCAATATACACTTCTAGCGGAGCATGCATGCATAACAAGTCGTAGACATTGACTTCAATCTCTATGGGAAAACTTGATACAGCTATTGTGATCTGAATTCTCACCAATATTCATTGTTGAAGGTAATGTCGTAAAAAGATTGAAAAACTCTAAACCGAAAGTAAATTCCTCGAAAAGTAGAGCAATATGAAAATTTATTGAAAAACAAGATGATCTTTGCACGTTATAAGGCTCACTACATGCAACAATGTTCCGATCATTCATTGATATACATGGACAAAACACATTAACGACTCATACGGCCAAGACTTGGATTTTTAAGGCTTGACTCGGCACCATAGAAGGAGGCATACTTCACTGGTCATTTTTATGAGCTAGAAACTAAGAAGTGCTAGAAAAGACAATAATACCTCAAGAGTATCTTGTTGTGGTGATGAGGATAACACAGTTGAAAGAAGCTCGATGCTGTTTCTTGCTACATCAAATGCTTCCTCAGTCTGTTCGACGGTAAAGGTTTGGAGAGGAGCATCATGCTGAAGCTGCATGTCATGTTGAAACTGATTTGCAAGACTAGCATCTACTTCTGCTGCAGAAACTGAACGAGGAGGGGTAAAAATAGGTGCCAAGCTCTCGTTATCACGACCAGGAAAGCGAATACCCCTTGATTTTAAGCTCTACAACAGAGAAAAGGATTATTTGAGAAATCTCAAAAGTCAAAAGATAAAGATAAAGATAAGGGTTCATCTTAGTAGCAACACCGCACCATGCGTTTGGGATGCATATTTAATCCTATTGCAATTCAGAGCAAAAATAATTCAAGAGACGTTGATGTACCAAAACGTTCTAGTCAAGAATTCAATTGTTCGAGAAAGCTTATATGCAGACTTCCTAAATTGATCTTATGATTGCAATGAACTGAACTAAACAAATAAGTTGAAACATTTCGCTCTTTTTTATTGGAAATTTTTTCGTCCTCTGATTGTGTGAGGATTTGTAGGATATATTAACCACAATTCCAAGACTGTAAAGCAACTGAAAGAAAGTTCAAAAATTAAACTAAAGCTAGACAACTTTGAATCATAAACACATCAGGAAAACTGAAAAACAAAATTAAATGATCATGTTTCTGTAACTCGTCTCAACAACTACACAAAACATGAAAAATATGTTTTTACCTTGTAAGTCTCTTCATAAATAGGTAAATAGCGGAGCTCATCGGTTGATTCCCCCCATGATTCAATAAGCATCAAAGCCTTGTTCTGGTTATTAACTACAGTCTGAGGATCGTCAATAAGCTTAACCATCTCATCAAGAACCCCCTCAGCTGCCACCTCGAAAAATGCCTTCTCGCAATTCTTGACACAAGTTTCAAGCAACACCAGGGACAAATACTGAACCCTAGGGTTCTTTAACATCATCCTCCGCTTTATGCCACGAATCAATTCAACACCGCTAATTTTTTCATGGTTGATCATGTCGCAGATATCGAGAAACAAGGCCCAATCAGGCTCATCAAGGGCCTCTGAGGTGGCATCGTCAACAAGCTTATCAGCAGGGTTCGGGCCTTGGAAGAGCTCCTTCACCTTAAAGCTCATCGAGCTCATGCCAGCGCTCATCTTTCTGCCCACCTCGGCTCCTTCAGTCTTGAGGAGTTCACCAAAGGCAGTAACTTTGTCCATCAAATTCTTGTCCATTTTCACCAAACCTTCACAACAATGATACCGCCCATTTTAACCACAGTCCCATTTTTGCAATCAGATATTATAACCCTAATGGGTCTAGGGTTTTTATCAATCAAAATGAATGAAAATGTTATGATGCTTCGTTTCTCTCTAGATCTATTCTTCCTTCAATGTCTTCACCCTGCTTGTAACACCCCCAACCCGTATCCGACCCGGATACGAGTCCGAAGTGTCACATTGACTTTTCAAACCTTGACTCTTAAGAAAAATCCCGGGAAATTTAAAACTTTATTTAAAACAAAATACAGACTTTATCAGAGTGCTCGTACTTAATGACTTATTACATGCCAACACTTTATACATAACCAAAAACATACTTTATCAAATATTTCTGATCTGATCTTTTGGTAAGGAAAACTGACCTGTCTTGCTCCGCATCACTCCTTACTCTTCTCGAAACCTACGTGTGAAACAATCACACGCTAAGTCGAAGACTTAGTGAGGCATAACCACTTATAATGCACTTTAAAACATATATTGATACATGCATGTTCTGTTCTATCATGTTATAGCAATTCCAGGCATTTTTCATATCGTATAGAATCATATCAGATTAATCGTAGTAAATTCATACATACACATAATTCATCATTCACATGTTATCATATAATCACATACTTTTTCAATCAAACACTATACACACAACATCATATAATTTCTATAGCATTTATCATACCACTAACTTATATTTGTTCATATCTCTGGATTAGCCCATGTATATATGTGAGAACTATCGATATGTGAGTCTATAGAGGTTGTGCACTATGCTGTCACCACAGCTCGTATAAATGCACCGAAGTGCCCCGTAGAATTGCACCGAAGTGCCCGTAGAATTGCACCGTAGTGCCCGTAGAATGATGTCCATAAGGACCACGTAGAATTCCTTAAGAATCATATACATATACTATGGATCAAGTATGTGTCTTTCAAGACTTCACACAGGTTCCAAAGGATATACATATGTCCTAAAGAACCGAATAAACCCTCGACTCTTGGCATGCCAACTATACCCCTAGCTCTCATGACACATAACATGGGCGTTATCATTTATTTCATTTCAAATATTCACATAAACTTGTAATTCACTTTCACTTATCACGTATCACATAGCTTCTTTTCATATGATCACATAGTCCCGTAGTTCACTTGCACGTAGATCATTTCCATATAATTCACATGTCACATATGTCATGTTTTCATATAATTTCTATCATTTCTCACCCAATCACCTTTATTCATATAAACATACTTATCATATCTTGTTCACATAAGATCATATACTTCATATAATATATCGAAACACCTAGAACACTTTCACGTAGCTTATAGTCATAAGTTTTATCTCATAACCTATACTTGTTTTCACATATATATATTTCATAGCATTTCTTATACCATCACATAATTCCTTTAACATACATAACATATCATGTAACATTATAATAGCAATACTTATAAGTCATATTGCTTATATCTTAATCTTATGCCTTCTCTTAAACATATATATATATATATATATATATATATATATATATATATATATATATATATTCACATGTTCAGGTAATTCACCATTTCATCACATAATTGTGTATTCATATAACTCATTTCATTTCATTTCATATCTATCTATATATATCTATATCCTCAAGATTATCCTAATATAAATCATATAGCACTCTTATATTTCGTATTCATCTAGGGCAGACTTATAAACATATCTCACTTCTATTATTTCTATATATAATCTAATCTGTTACTTAATTCAATTTCATATCACTCTTATAATCTTCTCATATAACTTCACAAATTTCTATCATTCAACCCATGTTATAGTTTTATTTAAACCTATGAATCTTTCCCATCTAGCTTATCTTATACGTTCATCTTATCATTTATGTTCAAATCCCCTAGTTAGTGTACTATTTTCACTTCATCCTATAGATCAATATTATCCAGCTTATTTCACTTATCATATAATAATATAATTATATTTTACTATGATCACATAGTTTATATCTCATACTTTGCTTTCTCATGTTCACCTATATCATGTCATATGGCTCATATCTTTCTCATGCAGTCACATAGTTCAGTTTCACATATGTATATATATATACATTATATAGCACATACTTCTCATAACATTACATTCAAAAGCATGTCAACACATATATTCATGCATACATACAATTCATGTCATTCATATACGTATAATCATATATTCATGCATTCTAACATAGGAAATAGACTTGTCGCAAGTCTTGTTTCCATTTAGCACCATAAACTAACTAATATGCACTCACCTGGCCTCACTAGCCAATTCCAATCTCTTATCTTTCCCTTGATCGATCTTACTTGCCAAACGTTCCGGAATTGCTTTATGCGTAGAATCTACATAATTGTACATTTCGAGACCATCATTAGGTACCTACACCTTGTAATTAGATACTAGCAACTTAAACTAACTTATTAAACCCATATTCTCAATTTTCCTTTAGGGGGAATCGGTTCCCCCCTATGGGGGTATCGGTTCCCCCATGACATACTGGAAATTCTTGTTCGTTTGAAGGGGTATCGGTTCCCCTTGAATGGGTACCGATTCCCCTTGCCCAGAAATCATATTTTGAGCTCGAAAATCCTTCATTTTCAGCTCAACACATCATACTTCATTCCCTTTAATATTCCTAACTTTCATACACATACTTAAACTCATTTCTACTCCATAATCACTTCTTTAAACTCAAAATTCTATCTTCCATATAAGATTCAAAAATCATACCAAATTTTCAATGTGTTCTAATTCTCATTCTATCACTTCATATCTCTTAATTTAATCCTTGACAAGTCAAATTCAACTTCACAATCTATTAACTCCTTCCATATCAAAAATTCACTTAAAAACTCATTTTTCTTAATTTCTCATAACTTGTTAATCTTTGAGGTTTAAGCCCCCTAAAGCTTTCCTTAATCTTTCTTAATATCCCAAGAATCAAAACAAGCTTTAAAACGAAAGAATTAACCAACTAAAGACTCACTTACCTTATACCAAGCTTCACGGTGGAGAGGAGGAAGAAGAAGACTGAAGAATGCTCTGGACTCTTCTTCATACGTGCTTATTACCCTTAAAAAAAATTATAAAAAATCTTTCTGGTCAAATGACCATAATACCCTTAATTTCCTTTAATAATTACCAAATACCCTTCAATATATATTCAAATAATCATTGAATTCTTTCATTCTTCTACTTTAGTCACCAAATTCTGAAACTTTACAATTTGGTCACTAACCCGGTATTGCGGATGTTACACTGCTTCTGTTCTTCAAATTCTTCCTAATATTCATCAATTCTTAGTTTAATCTCTATCAAACAAATCGGTATCGTTGAATAAACATCCGAAGAAATGGAAAAGTGCAAAGAAATAGTGCCTAAATGCATTCATCCTTGGGTTATAATCATTAACATAAAAGTTCTTCCCAGTAAACCTCCATGGAAAAATAAACTCCCACTCAAAATTACAAGAATGCAATAAAATAATCAAACAGGAATAACTATAATTTGCCTCACCATCGTTAACTAGAATGATCAAAAGTCTGGTTTTGCTTCTTTTTTTCACTGAAGTACCAGCAGAACCTAATTCAAATCTAAAAATTTATGTGAATAATAATCAACAGCATCAAAATTCTTTAAATCCAAAAATGAATAAAACCCTAGTTCCCAAATCTTCAGGGGAAAGTATAATTATCAAAATACCAACTTCAAAACCTCCAAAAATTGAACAAGTTACTGAATAAAAAAAGAAACTAATATAACGCAAATAAATAAAGTATTTAAAAGTAAATATCAAATTCTCTCCTATTATAGCAGCAATTGCAGAATACAAATATAAGGGCATGATATATAACTTCCAAACCTTTGAAACCTTCAGAAAACTCTAAACTTGAACAAGATCACCACCAAATAGCTAAAGGCCTTGCTTAGCTACTAAGAATTATAAGGAAAAAATTGTCCAAAATCAGGTTCATTAAGTCAACTGCTGGGTCAGCTAAACCTAGATTCTAAATACATCAAATTCAGAATCAGGGAAAAAAAAGAGACGATCAATTTCTTCACCTTTGAAAATTGAAATCAAACTGTAAAGTTAGAGTTTTTGATCTGTCATTGGAGTTCCAAACTCGGTCTTTCTTCATATACGTCGCTAAAAGACGATTTCTTTCGTTTTAAATTTCTTTATCGCTTTTTTTTCAAATTAATTAATAATAAATATTGCGTATATGTAAAGGTTGTTGCCGTAATTCCAATGGTTATTTGAAAAAAATAAGTAAACGACACCGTCCCATTTATTAATGCAGCTTTTACCTCCTATATTCTTAGAATATTAGGATGCATTTTATTCAAGAGAAAATAATCTCAGTGACCAAAAATACCTTATAATATATGATTTTAATCAAATTTTTTTGGATTTGCCAAAATGACCAACTAAATCGCAATGCGATCGATAATTCGCAACGCGATCTCTGGTATCGCAAATCAGTTTCCAGAATCGCAACGCGATTCTGACTATCGCATTGCGATTTTCCAAATTCGCGTTGCGATTTTCCGAAATCGCAATGCGAATATGTAAATCGCAATGCGATTTTGACTATCGCAACGCGATTCTTACTATCAACGCAATTCTGACTGTCGCAACACTGAATTTCAAATTCGCAACAGGTTTTAGTTTCGCAACACAAATGTTTTGGGTATATAACTACGCAGCAGAAGCAACTCATAACCTAAATCCCTAAATCGCAACTCATTCCATCTCCATCTATCACTCTCTCCGGCGACATCCGTTCCTATATCCAACGACATCCTTCCCCATCCGGCAACAGGTTTTAGTTTCGCAGCTCGTTTGTTTAGTAAATTAATTTACAATAATGAAATCATCTAATGTTGATCATGTTTGGATAGATTTGTGTTTTGGAGGGTCATGGGAGAATGTTCATGGTGTTTTACAATATATGCCTTTACCCATGAATCTTCAACTAAAACTGTCATTAAAAAAAGTTAACTTATGAAACTCTAATGTTACGTGTTGCAAATAAATTGAATTTAGAGCCCTTAAGTGGATTTAGGTTATCTTATCAGAGAAAATGTAAAGTTTATTTGTTAACCGACAATGAAGATGTTGAACGATTCATTGCTTACATTAGTGTTTCGCAAGATGATGTTACATTGTATGTTGTTGAACCTAGAAGTAGTGAAGTTGGGTCAGTAGCGGGTAGTAATCAACTAAGTTTTTCAACCCTAGTTTATGGTGCTTAAAATTTAATGGTTCCACCACAATTTCATCACCAATCAAATTTTGTTTCACCACATTTCCAATACCAAACACAATCTCAAAACCCACAACATTTCCCTAATCCAAATCCCAATCAACTTTCAGCACCAAATTCCGATTTACGTATTAACCAGTTAGACGATGATGAGCCAACAGAAAAAATTGTGAGTACTAGTCGGTATTCAAAATTTGATCTTGGTCAATACCCAGTCTTTGATCTTGGTCAATACTCAGATTTTGATGATGTTTCAGAAGAAGAAACAAACCCTGCGTGTAATGATTTTGATATTGGTCAATACCCGAATTTTGATGATGAAACAGCCGCTGTCGAGGAAGATGTTGTTGATGATAATGAGGAGGAAGTTACGACTGTGAATGAACATGTTGAACATCCACTCTGTAATTCATATAACCCTGAAGAAGAAAAAGAAGAAAAAATCCCCGAAGAAAAGTCCCCGAAGAAAATGTCACAGGAGTATAACTGGAATATGCCAGAATTACTTCAGATACCGGAAGAATAGTTGGTAAAAATAGCAGTTGATTGTTACACAAAATTATTCGTATCAAGAAAGATGATTGTTTTGATACAAAGGAAGACTTAAAGATAGCTTTGTATACGAAATGTGTGGAAGATGGCTATCAACTAAAAGTTAACAAATCAAGCAAAGATCGTTTCGAAACAAGGTGTATGATTGACAAAAACTGTACGTGGCGTATGATTGCAAAGAGGATAAAAGATTGCGAAATGTTTCAAGTTAGGACTTTTATTGATAAATATACATGTTCAAGAACCCAAGTTTTTCCTCACCATCGACAGGCAAACAAAAAGGTGTTGGGTGGTTTTCTGGCTGAGTTAATGTTTTTGAATGGCAGGGTATATCGGGGACATGAAATTATGACTGATATGAATACTCGGTTCAAGATTAGAATCTCATATTCTCAAGATTGGAGAGCCAAATGTTATGCCTTGGAATTGTTGAGGGGGTCGCCAGAAGCATCGTTTGCCCAACTGCCGGCTTATTGTCACAATTTAAAGCTAAAAAATCCTAGGTCGGTAACTCATATCAAAACAGATAGAGATGAACACTTTGAGTTGCTGTTTATCGCCATTGGTGTTGCGGTTAATAAATCAATATAATTTTGTTGACTCATTTTTGTTAGTTGCATGCATTTCACATTTAAATGATTATATTTCTTGTGTATATGATTTTGTAGATTCGTTCGTTTATTACTTGCATGCGCCCAGTTATTATAGTTGACGGAGCACATTTAAAAGGTCGATACCTTGGAGTAAACATATTAGCAGTAGCCATGGATGCTAACAATGGGATACTGCCAATAGCTTACGGGGTTGGCAAATCTGAAACCTCTGATTCATGAACATGGTTTATGGGGGCATCTTAGGGATTGCATAGGTCCTATTAGCAATCTGACAATCATATCCGATAGGGCAAACTCAATTGACAACGCTGTTAGAAGGTGTTTCCCAGATGCTTTTCATGGACTTTGTGGTGTTCATTTATATAGAAATCTAAAATCAAGGTCTGTTGGTATAAAAATCACAAATGGACATACTGGAAGGCTATAAAAGTTTATCGGGAAGTGGATTTTAATAAGCATATAAATTGTTTAAGACGTGTTTTGCCTCAGTGTGCTCTAATACTAGAAGATGTCGGGTTTGAAAGATGGTCAAGAGTACATCAACTTGGAGCAAGATATGGTTACATGATGTCTAATAGTGCAGAATCAATCAACGCTCTAAGTCGTCATTCCCGGAAATTACCCATTACTATGTTAATGGAGTTTTTTCGAGCCTCTATTCAATAGTGGTACTACAAGAAAAGAAACCATGCATGTATTATTTCTTTAAATTCGTAACTTATCATATATTTTACTAAGTATTATTTATTTAAATTTACAGGAACATTGGAACATCGTGTTACACCATGGACTGAAAAAAGACAACGAAACGTGTTATGAAGTCAACGTCATAGAGAGTTGAATCATGTTCAAACACTTTGTTTGAAGTACTGGATAATAAATTAAATGGGCTTATCGATCTAAATGCAAAGACGTGTAGTTGTATGAAATGGCAAACATCTGGTTATCCGCGTGGGCATGTTATAAAAGTTGCTCTTCATCTAAACCAAGATAATTCAAGCGCATACGCTATGGATTGCTACACTACAAAAGTATATCGACAGACTTATGCCGAGATTATCTACCCTATTCCACATCATTCTGAGTGGGACATACCAGATGACTTACAAACAGTTTTGCCACCAGTCATGGACAGAAAGCTACCTGGCCGACCAAAAAGTCACGATCGTATACCGTCTAAGGGTGAAGAGAAGAAGAGATCGACATGTAGTCGGTGCAAGGAAAGTGGTCATACAAGGTTGACATGTGGATCACCAGTGCCATCACAATCATCTTTTCCTCTACCAAAATATGGATCCTCATCAAAATCCAAAGCTCATAAGGTGTCAAGAAAAAGGCAATCAAAATCGCAATCAAAATCAAAATCCCAATCACAACCGACTTCACCTTTTGGGACTATTAACTTAGGTGATTTTTAAATGCAAACGTTGTATTATGTGTAAACTTTTAACATTTTCAGTTAGGCATGTATTAGTAACTTGAGTTTGAACATTGCTATGATTTGTTCAGTTGTTATCACTTATTACACATTCATTTGAATATCGCAACGCGAATTTGACTATTATGTGTATTTTATGTGTAAACTTTTAACATTTTCAGTTAGGCATGTATTAGTAACTTGAGTTTGAACATTACTATGATATGTTCAGTTGTTATCACTTATTACACATTCATTTGAATATCGCAACGCGAATTTGACTATCGCAACGCGAATTTGATTATCGCAACTCAAAAATCGTAACGCGAATTTGACTATCGCAACACGAATATGACTACCGCAACGTAAAAATCGCAACGTGAATTTGTCTATCGCAACGCGAATTTGACTATCGCAACGCGAATTTGATTATCGCAACTGGTATTTGATTATCGCAATGAGAAAATCGCAACGCGAATTTGACTATCGCAACGCGAATTTGATTATCGCAACGGGTATTTGACTATCGCAACTAGAAAATTGCAAAGTGTATTAGACTATTGCAACGCGAATTGACTTTCGCTTTGCGCTTTTGTCTTTCGCATTGCGATTTTGAGTTTAGCGTTGCGAAAGTGTACCTCCAACAGGTCTTTTGCCTTCAATATGATACAGATTGAAATCAACAAATCAACTTTTACATTTCAATCAATTAAACAAGCGCAAATAAGAATTATTTACACATCAATATTAAACAAATCAACTTTTACAAATCATTTTTATAAATCAATTAAACAAGCAAAAAATGATAATAATTCTTATTTTCCTCATCAATTAAACAAATCAAACTTTTAAGAATCAATTAAACAATAAAAAAAAGTGTACCCCAGACAGTTGTTTATGCACCCATACATCAATTTCACGCAGCTCACTTCAGGATTAACCTGCAGAAGCCAAACATTTGCTTAAATAACACTTTCTACACATCTAAAACCAACAAACAACAAATTATTATTGAATTCTAGGTACTTAACAACACTTGCATTTGACTTATAAATTGTTTATGGACACTTTAATAACGCGGATGCAGGTAAGCAGCGTCTCGCATATATCGCTCTAGCCATAAAATGCCGAAACCACAAGCCTACTGCACCTCTATCTCTATCGGT